GGAATGTCAGACAGAAGAATTGCAATTTACACACAAAAGAAGGTGCGTGCAGGAAAAGATCCTGGAGAAAGCTGTTTTATCAGTTAGTTGTAGGCTGTGAAAAAAGTGCCTAAGGAAAAGACTTTAAAATAAACAGTTGTACTAGATAAACTCCTGATTTTCACAAAAAGTGTAACAGATACCTCCTGTAGCGGAGGGAGAATTTATACAGGGATTTGCCAGGGGAAGCCATAATAAACAGTGTCATATACACCAACCTTTGGACTATACTAGCATTTATTCAATTCTGAAATGTAAATCATACTTAGATTTACAGGTTTAATCTTACTGTAATCTTACTTTGCATTTGGGCAACATGCTTTTCAGTCTCTTTCCTTTTCTTCTAGTCCTCATTAGTTTTCTGGTGTAATAAACCTCTCTCACTTCCCTGAAGTATTACTTTAAAATAATGTTGCATTTTTACAAGGAAATGATCTGATCTCCTGAGCAACATTAACATTCACTACTGATGTCTGCTGCTTTCCATGGAAGACATAGCCTTTTAGGAAATTTATTAATTCCTCAGCACCTTGGAGGAAAAAAAAAAAAAAAAAAAAAAGAGTACTTGTTTCAGACTCTAACTGTAAACAAAGGAGATTTACCCAGATGAAGTAGATTCTGAAATGCCACTGGGAGAAGGGGAAGTAAGGATACTCTGCCCTCCCCAAAACTGGAGCAGCTTGCTTGGAGGGACTTTGTTTTCCACTACATTATTCCAAACATCTCAAGAACAACGAAACTCGCAGGTAAAACACAGTTGTGTTGGCACTGCGCTTTTGCAGGGTGACGTTGCTTCCCTAGCTGCTTAGAAGGTAATTCATTTACACAGAGACAGATCTTATACCCTAGAAAAGAGGCATAATTCACTCAAAAAATGATGTGGTCTTTATATCATTATACCATGTGTGACGAGCTGAACTCTGTGGTGCTAGTAGTCTAGCACTGGTTACAAGATGATACAAAATACACCATCCACTTTGAAGTAAGAGAGTTATCTTTGGTTTGTTGGTTGAGTGGTTACATGTTCCTTTTTTTTTTTTTCCCTGCTGTAGAAGAAGCCAAGCTTATTAGTTGTGTATCAGCTCTAGCAGTCACGGAGGACTGAGGAGGTGTGTGCTTCATTGCAATACTACTTGTTCTTTAGGTCCAGTGGACTGTTGCTTTCTTTTTCCCAAACTACTTTACTCAAATTGGAAACCCAGGGGAAAAAAAAAAAAAGAGAGAGTGAGAATAATGTACTCATTTGTTAGGACTTAAAGAGGAAGATTCTTTACTTTGGAGGATATTGGTTATGTAAGGAAGGATGGAAATGCTATAGAATACCGCAGGCTCATGTGTCCATAAAGATACTTAATCTGTTCCTGCTCTTGAGGTATTGGCACTGAGTTTTCCGAAGGAAAAGTATTTTCTCCTCTTGCTTCCTTGTGTATCATTTTCTTCACAGTTTGCCTGTGAAGGGAAGGACAGCAAAGAGCAGCACAGTCTTAATCAGTTAGTTATGCATAAATGCGGAATACACTCTGAACCACTTGTCCTCTATTAATTTTATTATTTACTTTGGATTGTACTTGTGCTAGCTTTATTAGAAACATTCATAAAGCCTAGTGACAAACCTTTCTCTCTTTCAGAGCCTTGCTTTGTCATTTTTATTACTGGGACCAAAATGTGGAGTTTCATGAGTTTTCTAGCCCACAAAACTCATCTACGATTTGCTGTCAGCCACGTTTACCAGCTTCCTTCAAAAGACATCAAAAACCATTGCATATTTCTCTTCCAGTTATCCAGTTTGGATTTGTCACACTCTTTGTTGCCTCGTTCCCCCTGGCTCCTCTCTTTGCACTTCTGAACAACATCATAGAAGTCCGGCTTGATGCAAAAAAGTTTGTTACTGAACTGAGGAGGCCAGACACAGTAAGAGAAAAAGATATAGGTAAGTAATGAGAAAACATTACAGTGAAGATGACACCAGAAGTTCAATAAGAAAGAAGAAAAATGTTAGCAAATCCATTACTAAGTTCTGTTTTTTACTTTCAGGAATTTGGTATAACATTTTGAGTGGTATTGGAAAGCTTTCAGTTATCATTAATGTAAGTATTTGGCTAGACCAGTTACTAACTACGATCCTGAAACTTACCTTGTCACTCCAACATAATTTAAAAATGAAGTCTAACTTTCTCAATTGCCCTAAAGTACAATAAAATCTAAATTATCCAGTTAATTCTTGTGAAAGTGTAAAACATGACTTAATTGTAAACAAGAGGACCATTCGCTCATCTCATTCTCTCTAGGCTTGTGTTCTGTAGGACAGGAAGACTAAGTCATATAAGAACAAAAAATGGAAGTGTTTTAAGCAGGCAACACTCCAGATAATTGATAAAGATCTACTTCTCATTCATACCCATGTCTTTTTCTATTACTCTGTTAGTATAATTGTTGGTATGAATAAAAGTGATGTAAATATAACAATCTAGGTTCTAGGAGCAGAAAGTCCTTAACTGGATAGCATTAGCATTTGTTCTCATATATATATAGGTATGTGTTAAACATTCCCCAGGCTAAAAAATCTTAACAGGAAAAGATATTCTATCATAGAACAAGAAGCATTACATGAACATAATACATGTCTGGTATACAGATACATTATGTTTATTGTTTCACATGTATTTCTTAAATAAATTTTTCTTGTGTATACTTTAAGATAAAAAAGACTAATGTCGTAGGAATTTAACCATAATAGTGGATTTTTGACCCACAGATCATAGAATCATAGAATCATTTAAGTTGGAAAAGACCTTTAAGATCATCGAGAGCAGCTGTAAAATATCAAAGATATCAAAGCACTTTAGAAAGGCAGATTGTCATTAATAAAGGGAAAGCTTGTGCAGAGGTGTTTTGCAATTTATCTAGTATAATAGCTTCTAGCACAACAGCACTCTGTAGCAGTATGTAAGCTGTCATTAGAACTGGGAAAATGATAATGCTTCCAAAGAAACAGTGTTGTTTGACTTGGGTGGAGCATTGTTCACTTACGGGTTGGCAGTTTCCAGAATTCAAGGCAGGAAATCTGTGTAGGCCTGCACATACCCATCATTTTCCTGTCAGGCATAGATTTCAGGTTTCCAGCGCTGCTCTATGCTGGATGAGCAAAACTCTGTAGTCTCTTGGTTGTACCTGAATACACTTTGGTGATCTATGATCCTTGATTATTTTGTGTCTGAAACAAACTCTGAACACTTTTATTTCCTGGGAAATAAATAACCATAAATATAAGTATGTGCATACCCAATTATAAAAAAATACTGGATGCCCAGTTCTACCTCTCTGTCTGAAAAATATTGATGCAGAAGAACTATTTAACAAAATCTAGTTTAAAATTGATCTAATGAATTCTTATTGTCACAATCTAGATACTTCTGTGTATGTTTCACTTCACAATGATATCAGTTTTATAGTTCATGAGATCCACCAACGGCAGATGTGTAAACGATGCAGAGGGAAGAATGAAGGATGTCTGTCTTACATTCAACTGCTTTATCTCAGATAACATTGTGTAACAATGTCAGATTATACTCCAAATTACACTAACTAGATATTACGTCTTGTAGTTGTTTTTTAAACTAATGATAAACCTCCTTATTGCTCCAGGGATGGAAATAGTTGGAGAAATGTACAGTACATCAATTGCTTTTGCTACTCTATGCTCTAAGAAATATTCCACTTCTCTAACTACAGCCTTCCTCTGGAAAGACAGAGCAGGTTACTGTACATTTATATAAGTACGCATTCTGTACCAGGTCTGACCATTTAACTCTTACATCACCATCTGAACTTACTTGAGCATGGAAATTATCACCTGAATTTAAGTTAATCTGAAACATGTTAGACATAGATTCATGACGCTGTTGTTTGGCTGTTTTTTTTGTTGTTGGTTTTTTTTTTTTGGTCTCTCAGGCTTTTGTAATTGCTGTCACATCTGATTTCATTCCACGCCTTATGTATCAATATGCATACAGTCAAAATGGAACCATGCATGGCTTCATCAATCACACCCTCTCATACTTCAATATCAGTCATCTCAAGGCTGGAACACAGCCAGAAAACTCCCTGTTTGCACAGGACGTTTTGTTCTGCAGGTAAAGTACTTCTAATGACAGTTTGCACAGTCCAAGCAATTCGTTTTGGTCTTTTGTCAGAAAAAAAATATTTTCCAAGTGGAAACTGATAATATTTGTGCCTTTAAAAACATGATATTCTCACTACTTTAGAAGGTTCTTAAAGGGGTTTTTTTTTACAGAGCATTAAAAGGCAAAATAAACAATTTAGGCAGACTTATTAAAATAATAAAAAATTAATAATAAATCCTTTCTTTATTGAAAGACATAGTTTTCATTAAAAACAATGAATCTCAAATCCTTTACTGGAAGTAGAGTGAGTGCACAGAGAAATTGCTCTTGGAGTTGCCTTTGGGACGTACCTGCCTTCTTACCTTGACTACAGCAGAGGCAAGATGAGTGCCTAACTTTGCAAGATGACTCCTAACTTTTAAGCAGGTAAAGGCAGAGCGTATAGTTCAGCACAGCCATGTCCTGATGTCAGGAACTTTGTTGGAGGAATCTCTGCTGCCTCTTGCGAGGTGGTCAGATGTGAGTTGAGGGCAGACAGAAAGGAAAAAATAGCAATGCAGTGCTTAAAGCTGCATGCTGTGCTTACCTGCTGCTTTGATTCTGGCAGACAAGGTAAAGCACCTTAAACCTGGAGCTCACCCTCTTTCTCTTCTCAGAATGTTGTTCCCTGTGAACTCTTCTATTCTCCATTTTAGTATGTTGCTAGGAATTAGCGTTTCTTAGTATATTGCTACTTGTGATAAGATGCAGCATCTCCATACTTTCCGATAGACTTGTAAGTCTGAAATAATTTTATACGCTCACTTTCTAGCACTTTTTAATTTTTATCCCCAAATTAGTGTTCTCCTTCAACAAGCATCTCGATCAATATGGATCTCCTACTTCACTGTGACTTTGCTACTTTCACTTTGGTGCTATTTACCTGGTCTCCATCACTCACCTTGATTTATGGTGTATGACTGCCAGTGTGTTTGGAAACGTGTGCATCAATGACAGTGATGAACTACAGTCCTCAGGTTATCATGGGTTTGACAGAGCCAAAATACAGGGAGAAGGCTATAATGTTTACTAGCCGTGAAAGTGGTTCCTGCCTGATAATATCGAGACTGCTACTGAGGATTAAAAAAAAAAAATTGCAAACAAGAAGCATATACTATGTATTTGACCATCTGCTACTCTGAATGAGAAACCATTATGAGAACATTTCTGTTCCATTCTCAGGAAACAATTAGGAAAAGATGTCGGCACCAGCATTCAGTGCTTCTCATTATGACCCTCCTCATTTGAATCTTATCAAAATCTCAGCTTTGAACAGAACTATCACTGTGATAAAATATCTAGTTCATGTCCCAAGAGACAGGCAACAAACACTGTCCCCTAAGCTGGAAATAAAATCTGTTTTTCTGTTTCTGGCAAATACATTGGGAAAGAGCTGACCTCTCTTATTCTTAGATTTCTGTGACCTCTGGAGATAAATCTGGTTACAATAAGCCTGCATTTTGCTCCTTACGGGCATTGCCAGAGATTAAGGTATCTTAAAAATAACCACAACAAGCCAGAAACAACTCTCCCACTGAACAGCCAGAATACATTCTTTGAATATTTTAAGTGACATTTTCTACGATGTTGTGAACCCTTTGACACTGCTTCCAAGTAAACACTGCTGTAACGCCATTCTGACGCATACCGTTAGTTGTAATGATTTTTTTTTTCAGAGAAAAATGACATTTGTGTAGCTGAAGGCAAAGTAAAAGCAAGCCTTGTTAAGTTATGAGACATTTTTATTGGTTTAGCCCTTTTTATAATCTGATATGATAATGGACTAGATGAAAGCGTGCTGATCACACTGAAAAGCAAAAAGCAGCAGATATAGAGTCATTAAGAGGATTTTTCCCTTAACAAAAGTCTGCTCCAATATTCAGTAAATTTATAAAGTGTCTTGGAACAAATTAATTTTCTTAATGCCCTGGGATTCATCTCATCTACTCCCAGTGATCAGTGGTGGATTCTAATGTTTTTCCCTGAACTAATCTTATATACTCCTGCACTGCTGAAGCACTATTTTCCTGTGCTTCAGTCAACAATTTCTTGTAAAAGACAATCTGTAGAAGGAAATTAAACAGATCATCTTATTTAAATTGATTTACAGTTCCACATTTTGATTTTTTTTACCAGTCTTTCTTTTTTCCGTGCCCAGTATACTGGCATACTTCCCTTAGCTCTGGCTTCAGTACAGTTTTGTTTAAGTCTTGTCTGGTTTCTTCATCCATCCTCACTTCCCCAGCATTTCTCTACTTTCAGTATGGTGGGGTTTTTTTCCCCTCAGAACTTCTCTATGCTCTATTTTTAAACCACACGGAACACTTCATATTATTGTTCTTTTATTTCAGTGGAATTAGAATTGTTTGCTATTTCTGAAACACAATAGTCTTTACAGCGCCACTCATCTGCTCTTCCTATCATACCTGTGGAATAAAATATTTTGCGAATGAAGTGGTGAGGGAAAAACGATCTTTTTTTGAAAAGAAACTACTTGTAGAACATAATGCACCTTGAAATCCCATGTGCTATAGAACAATTAAAATGGGAGGTGAGGAGGAGGCCCAGCTACGTTGCTTTTAGCTCTGACAACACCTCCTTTCACTATAAATCACCTTCTGGTACTCCGTTTAATGTAGATTCAGGCATCATGAGCAGCGTGATTTCCAGCTGAGCCAGTGAAATTTCCATGGGGTCTGCTGTCTTGCTACACTTACATAGTTTGTGACGCTCAGAGTACATTAAATAGAAAACCCACCACAGTTGGTGACCCTTCCAGGTGAACCTGGGCTCTGTTTCAAGACTGAGATTGATTTATAGTGCTAGGCAAAGTGCACAACAAACTCAGTGGTTTTCCTTGGCTTTGATGTTCAAGCAGATTAAATTCAAGGGAACTGACTTTGGCCCTTGCTGCAGTCCTTGCACATGGATCTGAGCAGACTGGGAGTCCACCTTATGCAGAGAAGGTCCAGAGGAGGATTCTCACTGCTCAGGCACAGCATAAGACTAAACAGGAATTCTGTGTAAGACGTGACGGAGAGCTTGGCTGCTGTGCACGTACCACTGAACAAAATAAATAATCCAAGGTCTAACACAGCCCAGACAGTGCTGCCACAAATTAATACACCCTCCAATCTGAAGTTGTTTTCTCCTCCTCTCCCTCCTTGCTCTCCCCATTGTGGGTTGTACCTTGCATGTCCAGAAGGTGCAGCACAGAGTTATATCCAGCATTTCAGATTGAATTTCTTGGGGGGTGGGATGGAGGGGGTATGCGTGTTGTAAACGTATAATTAAACATGCAAAACCATGTGAATAGAACCTGAAGGTAATTTTGGTAAGCACACCTGCAAACTGAAGCTGACAGATTTTATATATGAACATTCTCCATTATCCCCCAATGGAGGCTTTTCCACAGTCTAATGAATCTTACTGTCAGGAAGGGTTTTGTGGTATTCAAAACAGATATTCCCTTTCTTAATTTCATCCCATTACTCCTAGTCAAACACTGTGAACAGCACTAAATTATCCCTTTCAGTCCTAAGGGCACAATTTGTGCGTGGTTATCATGTCCAACTGTGGCTGTTACTTACCAAAGTGGAGCAATACATGTGCTCTTCTTTAATCTTTTCTGGTGAGTCACTCTCCTCAGCCCATGAATTGTTTTGCTGAGCTGTCTTCAGTTTGTTGTTATCTTTTCTTTTATTTTCTTTTTTTTTCTTTTCCCCTCTGAAATCCCCACAGCTGAATAGCTGAATGCAGCATTCCAAGTGTGGTTTTACCTGAGCTGTTCAGAGAAGGGCTCATACCCCCCAGCACCATCGGGCTTTTTTAGTTTATACATCTACAAGTCATACTGTCCTGCTGCCATATTTCAAACGTGCGCTAACTTGCTGGCCACTGTATGCTCCAGGCTATTTTCATTACATTTTCTTTCAAATTCTATCCCTTCAAAGATCCTTCAGTTGTTTTATTTTTAATTATTTTCCATTTCCCCAGATTATCCTCATTGTGTTTCCTGTCTGTGTTTCTTATTGCATTCTCTGTTTCCTGCTATTTGCAAAACTTTCCAATTTAGAAGCATCTGTGACATTTATTAGCCTGTTGTTTACTTCCAAATGATTCATGATAATACTAAAAGCATCAATCTTTACACCAAACCACTAAGGCTCTGTTTAATCCTGTCTAAGACTAGACACTTAATTTAGGAAGTGCTTTTCCCATGGCTCCCTCTGTTGTTAATGCAAAGACAAGGAACCACCAAAGCGTGAGTCAGATTTTACGTGGGCTGAATTATTCCCTAAATTAATCAAGGTTTAGGTGAGACGAATGCATGCTTGCCTCCTTTAGTCTGAAAATGCCTTGGAATCTCTCTATGCTTTAATTTCAACACTTTATTCCCTGTATGGTGAGATCAATATAACATTAATCAAAAAAGGGGGACATTTGTAAAACTTGGAAAATCTGGAAATTTCCAACATCAGAATAATGTTCTGATTTTGGTTACAACTGTGAAAGCTAGACTAAGCTTGCTAAATGTAGTGGAGATATTCCAGCTCTAATTCTGGAGTTGTATTTCATAATAAGGGTTGAAGTAAGAACATCTGGAAGATTTGATTCTTTAGCTTTTGTGATTGGAAAATCATGTTAATCAAAGCAATTGGTGCAGAAGGAAATTACTGGAACTGTTTGATAACTGATCTGTCTCCATCAACAGGTTCAAAGACTACAGAGAACCACCTTGGTCCCAAAATCAGTATGAGTTTTCTAAACAGTACTGGGCGGTCTTATCTGCTCGCTTGGCTTTTGTCATTCTATTTCAGGTAAGCCTATTGAGTTGCTGCAACTTCAGTCACAGATATATCATAAGAAATGGGTTGACATGCATGAGCCAAAGAAGCACGTGTCCGATGGAGCTTTGCTCTATGCAAATAGCCTGACATGGTTGAACCCAGCATGCTGAGATGTCAGGGGGCTGCAGCACAGGTTATCCCCCATGGAGCACTATGGCACACTTCTTCAGCAGGTGATTCCTCTCCCCTCATGGAAGGGAAGTGCCACAGCAGCCTGCATTAACCCCTGGCACTAGCAGAGATCCCTGAAACACCCTAGGGTCTTGAATGTTTCAGTTAAGCAGGCTCTGTCATCTTTTATGCTCTCAGGGGCACCACTTGTAAAAAGTACCTAAATTCCACATAGCCTTGTTAACTGCTATTCTTTACACAGAGAAATAAACAAAAGTAATAAATCCTTCAAGGTCTTTTACTACTTTCCACAAGTAAATTGAGTAAATTCTCCACAGTGTGCAGCAAGAGTTTTGCTGCCATGGTTTGCCTTCTGAATGGCAGAAGCCTCCTGTTCTCTTCTGTGATCTGGGATCTCTCCACAGTCAAGTTGCCCCCACCCCTCTCATTGAAATCCATCCATCTTTTCTCCTCACCTGCCAAATATTCCTAAGTGTGACTGCGAGTCTTGTCTGGTTTCCATTGCCTTCTTCTGCTTCTTTGGTTTGTCTTCAGTAATTTTCCACCACTGGCTGCAAAACATTTGAAACCAACTGGTTATGCTGGGCTTCAAATTGCCTGCCTGTTGTTCTGCCAGAGTACATTCTCTGGCTAATTAGCTCCATTGTCTCAGATGAGGACAGAGGGTTCATACTAGTAGCCTTGTCAGCAAACATTCTTGCACATTTTGAGGCATTACGCAACAGAGCAGTTTTCAAAGCATTATCATGATAGTATAAACCCCAACTCATAATTTATCTGCAAATTTCACAGACAGGCAAGCTTTGTGCCAAGTCTGCTTCCTGCCTCTGTGTTGTGAGCATCACCTGTAATGATGTTGACACTTGAAGTTCAGGGTTGTGGCTTGCATGCTGCCATAGTGTAAAAAAATTCCTGCTTCTCAGCTGACAGAAGGATTTGAAGACAGTGACCATGGAAGTTGTGTGTTGTCTACTCAGGCCACGTTGGGAGCACATGGGTATGATTGTGTTGGAGGATGCTTTTCCTGCTGTTGTAATTATAATAATGGATTCTGAACTCAGTCTCAATGGATTTGGTGTTGAGAACTAAGCACCTTTGGATGTGTGTAAAGAGCAAGGCTATTTTAACTACTCAAACCATGAATCATTTCACAAATCTAAGTCCTTTCCCCTTTCAAACCTAACTGAAGCAGTGTGCTTAATTCAGCCTCACCATTGAGGAGGAGTTGCGCACAAGCATGAGATATTTCTTGAACTAAGGCCTTACTCAACTGCTTAATAATACATGCTGTCAGCAAAGAAAGCATTTGATACCTGTCTCATAGCTATAGAAAAGGTTTAGTTTTTCTCTGGTGCATGTATTTTGGATTTTTCATACTTGCTTCCCATCTGTTGCCGTATTTGCAGAACTTGGTGATGTTCCTCAGTGTTCTGGTTGACTGGATGATTCCTGACATCCCCAAGGACATCAGTGAACAGATCAAAAAGGAGAAGAGCCTGCTTGTTGACTTCTTCCTGAAGGAAGAGCATGAAAAACTGAAGCTGATTGAAAGCTTTATCTCACGAGACAAGCAGAAGCACAAAAGTGGAGCTAAGAGCAAAAGGATCAGGGCTGCCAGCTTCAGTCAGTTTAACCGAAGTCAGAAAGGCAGCTTTGCCTCCTTTAGCTCACAGCACACCGAAGTGTGACTAGTTAGGGAAGGGTGACATCCCACGCTTACATCTGCTACACCTGCTTACTGTGTGCCGTGATTCTGAACCTGGAGCGAGGGAGGGACAGACAGCCAAGGAAGAGACAAGGAGCGAGAAACAGGAGGCTTCTTTTGCTTCCTTAGAAACTGAATATGCCAGGGTCTCCATTACATTTTATATGCTGTCTGGGCTGCAGCATTTTCAGACTTTATCAGTGCAAAACAAGGGCTATATTGTGGCTGAAGCTGGTCCTTGTGGTGGTGCATGCAAGTTGGGTAGGCATGCAGGAATTCTCCTCACTCACACTGTCTTCCCAGTAGGACCACAGCCCACCCTCCTCCTGCAGACACCCCACAGGGCACATGGAATATAAAGGACACTCCTGCTCTAGCATATATCTTTTGACATATCTGACCAAAGCGCATGGAATGCATGGTCTTGTGGCTTGTAGCTGCCAGCGAGTGGTTTATAAACACGTGGAGTCTCAAGGAGTCATCGTGCCTTCTTACCCTACGCTGCCACTTGGTGCTGTCTCTGCAGAGCACGCAGAGCTGCTGTCAAGGGCACAGAGCTGTGGGAACAGAAGGAATGAAAATCACTGAGCGCTTTCACCTACAGATATAGTGTGTTTTGCTTAGCAGGAACTTGAATGCATGTGCTAATGAGCGGGGAGCCCACAACATACACATCAGAATGAAGTAAAGCTGCTAGAACCAGGGAAGCTTGTTTCTTGTCATTGTCCTAAACAACAACACAAAAAAATCCCCAAACCCTGCATGTTTGATTTTGCTCTCACTTAGACTGGGAATTCAGCCAGCATCAAGAGGTATTGCACCACTAAACCAACATCAGTGTGAAGCTGACAAGTGAGAATAGAATCAAGCCCTGTAAATTATGTGGCATTTTCATGTACATTGAGCATAAAATAACAAAAGTTGCTGCTGTCATGCATGTACTATAAAGTAAAATATTTTCCAGAACTGCATTTCATTGGAAGACATAGTCACTAAGCAAGCTTTCATCTACAAGCGTTTAATGAATATCTTTATTCTGTTATGAATGAAAATAAAACTTTCTTTAAAAAATCTGTTTCTTTAACTGTGTATTCTGTTTCTAACCTGACCTGAAATTCAGAGTTTGGATAAAAGATTTTTTTGTAACTTTATCATCTCAACAATGCTTTCAAAACCAACAAATGCACGAAACGAAACAAGGTTTCAGTTTTAGGTACTCTATACAATGTGATTAGTCTTTATAATGATATTTTATATACTTCTGAACCCTAAAAATGTCGTTGTTCTTTTAGATGGAAAGATTTATTTCTACAAGAACTTTTGGTAGTTTTTAATGAGAGTTGTGAAAATAATTTTTTTTTTCATTCAGTGCCTAAACTAACGAAAATGAAAATGGTAAAACAATTTCAGGTTGAGCTGAAACTGAAAGTTTTATTCCAGAGTTTTGTTTTTAAAATTGTGTTTAGGGCTATTTATGCCTTCTATACAGTAGATAAAATTTGAAATTATGACATCAACTTGAATAAAATTGCAAAGGTTTAACTTTTTTAAAAAAAAGTCTGATCTCTCCAAATGTTTTTTCTTTTTCCTCTATCAAAACTAATTTGCTGAATTTTAAGTGAGTTCAGAAAGAATTCTTCTCCCTTCTGAAACTGTTTGTGTTTTTTTTAATTAATAACAATTCGGTAGAGATATTGCCCGGATCTGTTTGACTCTATCTGCTCAAGACTACAAACACAGCTTGTAAATGTGTAAAAAATGTGTAGCATTACAACGTTTCTCCCCTTTTTATATTTATATTATCTAAAATGAGCTATTTGAAGAGCTCCTGACACACTGTGCTCTGTATAAACTATTGGCTTCATATATATATATTGTGTTTCTAATTGATTGAGATAGATAAGAAAATTAAATACAATTTAAGATTTTTAGTATTAAGATTATCAGTATAAACACCTCGTGGTCACCTGTGATCATGTGAACCAGATCCTTATCAAGCCTGAAAGTTACATTACTGCATCTTGGGGAGACTCAGATGTTGGGATTTGTATGGCCAAAACATGGATGTTAAAATTAAAGTAGATTGCTTTTCCAGTTGCCAGAGGGAGAAGGGCATTACCAGCCAGCTACTCATCCCATCTGGACCCTGCTGTGTGAGACGGGCAAATGAATTGTCTTGGAGGATTCCCATCTCCTTCTCTGTGCAGCAGCAGGAACCTCCAGGTCTGCCTTTCAGATTGTGCTCTTGGGCTTTGGATTGCAGAAGACCAACACAAAACCTCCCAAGTCAGAGAACTTAAGAAATTTAGATCACTAAAATAATTAGCTAGATTCCAAATCAATCATGCTTGTTTTGTTTTGTTTTAATTTTACTAGGTTTTTCAATGAATATATTTTTAGGAATTTGGCTCCCTGTTGAAAATCTGTGACAGGGCTGAGACATAAACTTTGGTTTCCCCCTCTAAGATTAATTGAATGAGGGCACCGTATCTTCTAAAAAAAAAAAAAATTATCTCATTTTACTTTCAAAAGACCAAGCAGCCCTGCTGGGGATTCTGTGGCCTAATATTGTAAGGCAGTCAGTACTAATGACATCTATTCCCTCATTTACACTAGAGGGTGTTCTGATGGGGGATTTGAGGCTTTGGAACTGTCTATGTTTGTCATTTGCAACACTAGTTAATTGAAATACAATCAATTTGCTTTACTTCAAAACACCTCTCATAGGGAGAAATGTTCTGTTTCCACAGAGTAAAAAATATCAGTCTTGCCAGACCTTTAGATTGCTGTAATGCTCCCTTTCTTCTTCTGGATATGTGAGAATGCAGGGTTTAGAAAGAGGCTTACAGGTTGCATGGCACCTTCTTTTCCAGTGGCTTCTTTGTTGAAGTATATCCAGAGTTAAGGCTCTTCTTAAAATAGAACCATTTTTGTACACCCTCCTTGTACCCTCTTGTATTTTTAAAAACTGTGAGTCACTCAAAAGCAGTCAGAAAAATGCTATCCCAAAGCTGAATTCATTAGGGCTGTTGTTACACAGAATTTCCATAACAAGCAACTGAAATGCTTGCTGCGGTCCAAAAATGATAATGTGTTTCTAGATTTCCTAGCAAAAGGAACTAGAGAAGCTAGCAGATGTACACTGATGCTCTGAAAGTTCTCCTGAGGTTTATATATTTCACCCAAACAAGGCTGGGAAAGCAGCATAGCAACAATCACGGCTGACGTCCAGATGGGATCTACCATGATATCACAAACAAGACAGACAGCTCAATTATCTTTATCTGTGATATGGTTTCTGGTTTTCTCTTAAATTTGAGAGTTTCATTCACTGAGAATTCCTGCACGTTTTGGCACTTGACTCAGGTGCACTCCCTGAGGATTGCTTCCTTTGTTACATTTCTATGGCAACCTCGGGATTCTCCTGACGCTGCTTCCCATCAGCTCCTGTAACTGTAGATCATTGATTGGGCATTCATTCATCCATTCCTTCCCAGTTTCTAACTTATCTCTTTTGGACAAAGCAAGACTTTATCTGATCCCTTTTTATCACCATGATACTTGTAAGTCTACCCACAAAGCCCGCCCTTACCATAACTTGTGTCCCAGAAACAGAGAATGGTGGTTCCAAGAGACGTGCACGGAAATCTCTCTCTGGGGAAGAAGAGAACAGGGATGCAAGTACAAACACAAAGGTAATAAAACCTGCTAGCTATTGTCACTCCTTACTTTAGCGATGAAAATGAGCAAAAACCTCTACAAAAGTAAGAAAAAAGCAGAGGAGAAACTGGATAGGTATTTCTGCACATTTAGTTAAGAATTTCATGGGCCTTTGGATTGTTCCAGCTACAAAGTTAATGAAAAACCCAGTGAACAAGGAAACCAATGAAAACCCTCACGCCTTTGTGTGAGTAACTAATAAGACGCTGAGTACTACCCCTGCTCACAAACCACCAAATCTACACTCTAGGCTTCCTATGGAGTCTTATTATAGGAATGTACTTAACTGCACATCTAATTAGAACAGTGCAAATAGGAAGTAACAGAAGGGGCTTGTATAAAGCCTGAACACAGATATAGTTGGATGTAACCTTGACATTATCAGGCAACAGAAGGTATGTCCACCTCTCTGTGGCCAGCAGAAGCTCAGGACAAGTGAAAGAGTTTGCTGCTACAATTACCACATCTTCTCCTGTGGACTATTACAAGGTTGTTTCAAACAACTTTCAGGAGCTATTCAGGAGAAGAATTTGACCCAGGTTAAAGGGGATCCCTGCTCCTGAGTTATGCTATGCTTAAACGTCAGAATCCCTCTGACCCACATAGCCAGATGAACCCTCTGACAGTGGTTATCTCTAGTTTTAAAGACGATGTTCAGGAACTGAGTGAAGCTGCAGGAAAGTTAGTTCATTCCATCATGTCTTCTTCATGCAGACTTGCCCTTTTTTTTTTTTTAACGATCAGCACTAGATGTCTTTTTTTGTGATGGATATCATTGGCTTTTTTTGTCCTCGGCATTGTCAGTATGTAGAAAATATTGCTACCTAGACTTCTTCTGCAATTTGACCTTTCATGTCACTCAAAACTAATGAAACATAGTCCAGGAAGAAAAAAAGTAGCCTATGTGGAAGTCTGTCTGTTAAATTATTGCTTGGAAATATCCAACTCAACATGCACAATATTTACCATTGTTAGTAATAAACTCTTCTGACTACAATAATATAACATCTGTTGCTGTTATGCAGTCTCACCCTTAAATTAGGCACAGATGGTCTTCCTATTCCCGGACTGGTCTAATACTTTAGCCTTTGAAAAGAAAATATAAACCAGTTTTATCTGTGACCTATTCTTACAGGTCAATTCTTACATACCATATATTAGTTAAGAAGACATCTCTTGTATCCCGTAATACAAGATTTTCAGGTACACCAGTAGAAAATGCCTTTATTCCACTTAGAGATGCAGAGGGAGGAGGAGGAGCCA